CGTGTTGCCCCGCGAGCAGGGCGAAGAGGAGGGGGGAAGGAAAGGAAGAGAGAGGGCTGGACTGGTAGACGGCGGGGGGGGGAGGAGAGTGGAGAGAGAAGCCCAGGGCCAGTCCTTTCCCCCGCCTGCCTCCTCAAGCCAGGCGGGCCACTTGACGGCAATTAGCCCCGCGCTTGCTTGAGGGGAAAAAAACTTCCGACGGTCTCCCGCGCTCCTGATGCCGCCCGCCTTCACACTCCTGAGGTGACTTACCAGCAAGCTCTGGGAAAGCGCCCCGGCGGAGTTGAACGAGCATGCGAGGGACAGGACGCGTTCTCGGACTCCCTGGTTCCCCTCGTGGGAACCTCGCTCTGACGCGTGACAGGAACGAACCGCTGAAGTGGGGGGCAAAGCTTGCCTTAAGTGAGCCCCCCCTCCCTTCCCCGCAACAAAAATAAAATAAATTGCAACTCGGCGAGGTCCTTTGCAAGGCAGAACTCCACTCTTGGCATCACGTGCCGCCTCCTGAGGAGTTCCACCTGCATTCTCCTCTGTGACATTGCACAACGATCCTGTTTGGGGCAGACCTCGGGGGGTGCAGCCGCTCCTGGGGTGGCCAAGCGCGTGCACGCACCCACACCGCAAATGAAGGTTTTACGATAACTGAGGGTCGTGGGTGCCCGCAAGGAGAGGAGGCGGGGGGGCGGGCTAAATTTAGTACTTTAAATTCTATACATGCAATAATAAGTGTGTTGTCGTGATAGGCACTACAGAAGAGTATTTGGTGAATTAGATGTGCCATCACTCACCGGAAACATGCTTCAGGAATGCAGGTGAAAGAAGAAACACAAATCACTTGTGCTTCTCCTACGAAATGTCTTCACTATGGCCCAGACTTCCTTTTCTAAGCTTTGAAAAGTTATATTGTTGGAATAGAATTCTAATGATTTCCCAGCATGCATTAGTAGCCATTGACACTTTGATGATTCTGAGAGTTCTAATCCAAATAAATAAATGAATTGTTGCAGAGTTTTGAATTTCTGGTAAAATTCTTTTTTGCTGTGCAGTAAAAGTACAGAAATAATACATAATTATAAGTTTATAATAGTCCACCCCTTTCTCATTAATTGCGGTAAAATTCTTTTTTATGTCACTCTGAGACATTTGTTGCTGTTGTTTAGTTGTTGTGTCCGACTCTTTGTGACCCCATGGACTACTAGAGCACGCCAGGCCCTCCTGTCTTCCACTGCCTCCTGGAGTTGGGTCAAATTTATGTTGGTAGCTTCGATGACACTGTCCAACCATCTCATCCTCTGTCATCCCCTTCTCCTCTTGCCTTCACACTTTCCCAACGTCAAGGTCTATTCCAGGGAGAATTCGCTTCTCATGAGATGGGCAAAGTATTAAAGCCTCAGCTTCAGGACCTGTCCTTCCAGTGAGCACTCAGGGTTGATTTCCTTCAGAATGGATAGGTTTGATCCCCTTGCAGTCCAGGGGTCTCTCAAGAGTCTCCTCCAGCACCACAATACAAAAGCACCAATTCTTCGGCAGTCAGCCTTCTTTATGGTCCAGCTCTCACTTCCATACATCACTACTGTTGCTTCCTGTCTCATATATAGATTTCTCAGGAGATAGATAATGTGGTCAGGCACTCCCATTTCTTTAAGAACTTGCCATAGTTTGTATTTGCGAAATTTCTTTAAGAACTTGCCATAGTTTGTATTCGCGAAAGCTTTTACAGCTGGGATCTAATGGTTGTTGTGGGGTTTTCAGGCTCTTGGCCATGTTGCTGGCGACAGAGACTGGCAAAACATTAGGAAGAACAACCTTCAGAACACGGCCAAAGAGCCCAAAAAACCCACAACAGCCATTGCCATAGTTTGTTGAGATTCACACAGTCAACGTCTTTTGCATAGTCAATTAAGCAGAAGTAGATTTTTTTTGCTTTTAGATGTTTTTCTGGAACTCTCTGGCTTTCTCCATAATCCAGCTCATGTTAGCAATTTGATCTCTAGTTCCTCTGCCCCTTCAAAATCCAGCTTGTACTTCTGGAAGTTCTCGGTCCACATACTGCCTACCTTGTAGGATTTTGAGCATAACCTTGCTAGCGTGTGAAATGAGTGCAATTGTACAGTAGTTGGAGCATTCTTTGGCACTGCCCTTCTTTGGGACTGGGATGTAGACTGATCTTTTCCAATCCTCTGTCCACTGCTGAGTTTTCCATACTTGCTGGCATATTGAGTGTAGCACCTTAACAGTGTCATCTTTTAAGATTTTAAATAGTTCCACTGGAATGTCATCACCTCCACTGGCTTTGTTGTTAGCCATGTTTTCTAAGGCCCACCTGAACCGCTTGACTTCACTCTCCATTTGTAGGAGAAAGAATAAAAAGCATTTATTTACTTACAGTTGCTTTAATTATAGATTTTTGTATACTGCTTTCTCTACTGCACACATACAGTAGTTAACAACCAACTCAACAGATCAACTGGAAACAAATAACTGCCACCAGCAGAGGAAAAAGAGAAAAAGAAACACTGAGCAGACAAGCGGGGCTCTCTTTGAATTCAAGGCTTGACAGAACTATTGGTTAATGCTGGACAAAGAGATAAGCACAGATAATCACCCAAGCCCAGAAAACAAGGGTTCTAGAACATCTTGCTGCCTACAGTGGACTGGATGGCGTCTCATCCCCCATTCCATTCACCAAAGCTAGCTGGACTAGCTAGTTGAATTTTAGCTCAATACTAGCAACAGCATAATTTCCCTCCAACACACCCAAGGGCACCATAATAGTGTAAGGGCTGCAGAATCACTGGTGTGCCATACACAGCTTTGTCCTTCAGTAAAGTGAAATGGCTGGTGGAAATAGCCAGAGGGCTGTCACTGCTCCCACACAGCTTATGACATCCGAGACAATCACCTCACTTTGCCTCTGGGCAAGGAATCTGAAGGTGAATTTACATCTAGAGACAATAGAGGACAGAATCCAGAAATGTACCTTTAAAGGGGTTGGTTGGGGGGGGGGGCTCTCACAGAGACTCATAGGCTTGGGAGCAGTCCTGAATGTATCACTTCATCTGGAATCCAATATTCCAGGTCTACTAAAGGGCAATTTTCTCCTACCTCTTGTATGAAAAAGTCACTATTCTTTTCGCTCTATGTGGAACTGCTTTGATGCCCTTCATTTGCCACCTCGAAACCTAACACATTTGTCAAGGTGCTCTTGGAGGCTTCATCTAGGATCCTGGCACCATACAAAATCATTGTTCCACCCTCTTCACTGGTTTCCTGTCTACAGGTATCTCTCAATAACAATGACAGTCCTCCTGGTGTTGGGCGACAAAGCTGTATGGCTGAGGCTGATCACACTGTAGAGACTGCCTCATTTCCTGTGCTTTTCCACTGCCCCTAAAATGGATCCAAGCTGCCTTCTGCAAACTATCTGCTATGTTCCAACAGAAAGGTATGGAAAGATATTCTGATCAGATAATTACATGACTGCTTTTAGGTCAGTGTTACAAATTGAATTTCAGCATCTTTGTTGAGAGAGGCCCAGCTTATGAATCTAGCATCTTCTTAGAGTGTACATAATCACCAGCCAGACAGGATTAAAAGTGAGCATGGGTGATATTGTTGTAAAATATTGGTGTCTTCCAGATGGATCAATATTTCTATTCCTCTTTGGTCCTGGTTGGTCACAAAGGGACCCATGTATACCAGAATTTGCATTTGTACTGCACTTTCAAAAGATCTCCAATTTACAAGGAAAATATTCAAATTATTATCATCCTTCTAAAGATATGTAAGGGGGAAAAACAAATTTCCTGTTAAAGCTTCTCTTGTGGTGTGTGTATGTGGGTGTGTCCTTAAAATAAAATATTTTTAAAATATGTGTTTAAATACAACAATTCCCACTCGATGTTCTCTTCTAGAATCTTGTTTCATGTTGGTATCTGAAAACTTCTGAAGAGGATGTTGTAGCGTTCAGCCCTGCCCTCACCTGTCCATCATAGTTGAGCAGTGGAACAGCAGCCAATGAGGGGACGGAAGGTGGTGCTAAAGGGGGAGGAGCTGGGATATAAATAAAGGTGTATGGTGTATGAGAGGAGAAATTTTGGAGTGACTTGAGATTTGTGTGTGATTAGGGAGTCTTGGGACTGTGAGCCAAAAAGTCAGTGAGAGAAGAGTCTGTGTGTGTCAGTGAGTGAGAGACCTTGATTAACAACTTGTGATTTACCCATTTTATTTTGTTATTCAAATAAACACGTTTTGGTTTTTAAATATTTGATATTATTGCTGGCAGCAACTGAGTAGGAAGAGTGAGCACTCCTGGAGGCCTGAGACAATAGAGGCTTCAGCGCGTTCACTACAGATGTACTCGTCTTAAAAAGATGGAAAGCAACTTAATAGTCTACTCTGTTGCAGAACTTTGAATTTTTGCTAAAATTCCTTTCTGCTGTGTAGTAGAAATACAGAGACCCACAAAGGAGAATAACTACAAGTTCCAAATAGTCCAGTCCTTTTTCATTAAGTGGCACTTAAAGTGTGAATAACTCAGTCTGAGAAATTTGTAGGAGAAAGAATAAAATATGTGTATATACTTACAGTTGCTTGAAATTACAGACATGTGTATGCTGCTTTTTTTTTTTACTGAATATAACAACAACAACAACAACAACAACAATGTGCAGTCAAGTCAATTCTG